TGCTCTTATCGTATGTCGATGACATGATCGTTACTGGTGATGATGACTTGGGGATTACTGCTCTTACCAAAGGACTTCATGCTTCATTTAGTCTTAAGGAGCTTGGGTACGTTTCCTACTTTCTGGGACTTGAGGTTAAGCGCAGTAGCACCAAGATTCTCTTATGTCAGAGCAAGTACATTGATGACTTACTGGCCTCCTCTCGGTTTGGTGAGTGCTCCGTTGTTTCTACTCCCATGGAGCTCGGTTTGAAGCTTGGACGCGAGTCTGGTGATCTTTTGCCCGATGGTGGTAAGCATTATCGTAGTGTGGTTGGGAGCCTTATATATTTAACGTCGGCTCGTCCTAATATTGCCTATGCAGTTCAGATTGTGAGTCAATTTATGTCTGCTCCTCGTACGGATCATCTTGTTGCTGTCCATCGTATTTTGCTGTACCTACAGGGCACTCGCGAGGTGGGGTTGTTTCTCCCATCGTCTGGTTCACTTGATCTTCAGGGTTTCTCTGACTCTGACTATGCTGGCTGTATAGATACTCGTCGTTCGACTACTGGTTGGTGTATTCGTCTTGGTGAGTCCTTCATTTCATGGCGTTGTAAGAAGCAGGACAGGGTGTCTAAATCTTCTACCGAGGCTGAGTATCGTGCTATGTCCGATGTTGCTTCTGAGCTGGTCTGGCTTCGGCGTTTGCTGGGTGACTTAGGAGTGACTTGTGCTATTCCTCTCCAGCTTTATGTGGATAACACGAGCGCCATTCAGATTGCTACTAATCCGGTGCTTCATGATCGCACGAAGCAGATCGAGGTTCATCTTCATTACATACGAGACTTGGTTCGTGATGGCATTCTCCGACTGTTCTACATCACTTCTGAAGACCAGATTGCCGATCTGTTAACCAAGTCGTTCTCGGCTAGTCGACATTTTTACCTTTCTCGCAAATTGATGATGAGAGATCCTCATCAATTTGGGGGAGGCTGTTGAGTAGTATGTATGGGCTTCGGCCCATTTCCCTAGTCACAGATGATTAGTGTAAGTGACTTAGGGTTAGCCGAGTAATGGTCTAGGGTTAGAGACCCTAGCTTGTATATATATGTATGTAAGTGAACCTGTTAAGGTTAAGCTGAATAAGAGGAAAACCTAGCTTCGGCCGTGGACTAGTCTCGTTCATACAGAACGAGGAAACCACGTAAATCTGTGTATCTATTTCTTTTCCTGTTTCGATTAACAGCGATCTACCTCATTTCTCATTATAAGAATATTAAGGAAAAAATAAATTTTGAATCATGATATTATCCACGTCGTTAAGGTATCAAGGGCTGCTCATATCATAGTAAAAAAAGGTTCTCTCTCTTCATTGATTCAACATCTGTTGACCAGAGCACATTATTTTTTTAATTTAGCCGATTTTGATCATATACTTATTGATATCTAGCTTATTCCATTCTCGAATATCTTTGGGGGAAAAATGAAAGACAAAGCGAAATATATTTCGTTTCCAAAATAAGTGAACAAATATATATACAATTATACATCACCTCATCAACAATAGTAAACGGTGCCTTCAATTGCTCTCTTAAGTCCCATCCCATGTTTTGCACTGACAAACAAGGTTTGCGATCCACGCTTTGTGGAAAGTTGACGCCTCCACTCCAAAATCAATGCGGGGCGTAAAAGCTAATCCATAGCAATTAGCAAACGAAGGAAGAACTCATCCCTCAGGCCAAAATTTTCACAACAGTTTTGGGACTTCTCGAATTCTGAAATCTTTTGGATGAAGCAATATTGAAATATGATGATAAATATTAAAATAGGTAGAATTCAAATTTATGAAAATTATGAAAAAGTTATCTTAATCATTGTTTAAAATACACCACATTTAGATAATTAGACTCTAGGCGACCTCAAAACACCTCATCTGAGGGTTTCATTAAGAGTTAGATACCGAGAATACGTTAACGGCTGAGGCGATACCTAAGAATAATGAGATAGAGCAAATAATCAATACAAAAGGTATATGTTTGTAAAATTGTTATTAAACTATGATTCTATAAACTTTTAAGCTGATTTTCTTCTTACTAAGCATTAAGTAAATTATTAATCATTTGAATTTAAGAAGGAAAATGTTGTAAATTATTATTCCTTTCATCATTTTAAATTTTCATTTTAAATTTTAATGCAAATTGTTGTTTTTTATAGTCACTCTTAGCCTTAGGTACTATGCAACTATGCAAGGCCCAACACCCCTATATGTCTCAAGTTTTATTGAACCATATTTGAATTGGTAAATTTAGAAATATAATTATGTAATTTTATTTTTCAATAACAATTTTAACAGATCTCATCTTTTATAAGAGAATTGAGAGTTGGAAATTTGTTAATCCATCTATTTAAATTCTCAGTTTTGTCCATCCAAATTCGGAAATCTATTACATTTTTTACCATAAATTTAAAACCATTCCACCACTCAATTATTCGTAAAACCAAATCAACTGAAACTGGACTATATTATCAACGAATTCTGATAAATAAAGTTTCTACAGATTCCCATAAAAAAATTCTTCATAAAAACCATCCGTCTATTTTTAGAACATCACGTCACCAACAAGTTTAGGAATTTATAATTCTTAATTAGCTATGTAATTGAAACCTTTGGTGTCTGTTCAGTGCGGCTAATGCTATAAGCAGCTTTTGCGTCGTCTTCTTCTTGACCTTAGTCATCTCGTTCTTGCCCTCCAACTACTAGAACAGCAAAAACCAAAGCAAAACCCTTCAAAAGCTTCCAATTCCCCAACCCAAAAATATCCAACAATGATACCTTCTTCTTCCTGCTTCACTCTGCTCCTTGTCCTCTTACTACTCCACCAACCCTACTCTTCTACAGCCAATCTTCACAAACTCAACACAAATCCCCTCCTCAAATCTGCCCTCCGCAGCCCGCCGCCACTCGGTGACGAACTCTCCTCCGCCCAATCCTCCGCCGCCGTGTCCCCAACCGTCTTCTTCGAAGTAACAAAGCCCATCCCACTCCCCAAAACAGAGCCCTGCAAGCACATCGTTCTCCAGCACGATTTCGGCTTCACCTACAACCAGCCCCCGGTCCTCGCCAGTTACTCCCCTCCATCTCACTGCCCCTCGTCGTCTCACGGTTTCTCCAAAATCGTCCTCGAATGGAACGCCACTTGCAAGGGGAGGCAATTCGACCGCATCTTTGGAGTCTGGCTCGCCGGCGTCGAGCTTCTCCGGAGCTGCACAGCGGAGCCGAGACCCAATGGGATCTTCTGGACCGTACGAAAGGACATCACCAGGTACTCTTCTTTACTCCTCAAGAACGAGAACCAGGATTTAGCTGTCTTCCTTGGGAACATCGTTGATCAAACCTACACTGGAATCTACCATGTCAATGTGAGCATTTACTTTTACCCTGCGGAAGAGGGAAAACACGGATCTGGGGCTCCAAATTCGGCTGATTTGATCCTGCCCATTTCGCGAAATGTGCCGTCCAATGATGGGTTGTGGTTCGAAATCCAGAATTCGACTCAGACTGAATCGAAGCAGTTCGAAATCCCCCAGAATGTTCGTAGGGCTGTGCTGGAGGTTTATGTTTCGTTTCATGAGAATGATGAGTTCTGGTTCACCAATTACCCCAATGACTACATCGTTGCGAACAACATTTCTGGTGCTCTAGGAAATGGACCGTTTAGGGAAGTTGTGGTCAGTCTTGATGGAGTTACAGTTGGTGCTGTTTGGCCTTTCACTGTGATCTACACTGGTGGAGCGAATCCTCTGCTGTGGAGGCCAATTTCAGCAATTGGATCGTTTGATCTCCCTACTTACGACATCGAAATCACTCCGTTTCTAGGAGGCATGCTCGATGGGAAGGCCCACGAGTTTGGGTTTAGCGTCACAAATGCATTGAATGTCTGGTTCATCGATGCTAATTTGCATCTTTGGCTGGACCATCATAATGCCAAAACTGAAGGGCAGCTCATGCATCATCATGATCAGCTCGATCTCTCTTCTCAGATGAAATTTAATGGCTTGAATGGGGAGTTTCAGACGGGTGCAGGCAGATCGATCTCTTCCAGAGGATGGCTAGTATCTTCCCAAGGGAATATAACCACCCGGTTTAGCCAGCATTTCGGATTCAAAAACGTCATGGAGATTGGGAAAGATGGGAATATGCAGATTGTAAGGCAGGTGATTCTCTCAAATGACACTGTCTCGTTTTCTTCCCATGCTCTTCGATCATTTGGATCGCGTAACAACTTCAGCTTGGACTTCTACTCTGACTTCAAGGAGGAACCGAAAAATGTTGGTGCTTACATTATAAATGTCACATTGGGGTTTGACAAGAAAAAGTCCGGTGATAGCTATGATTCTCGGTCCAAGAGCTCATCTCTGCATAATCAGCAGAGTGGGCAAAGTGTTATGAAGGTGAAGAACAACTTGGTGATCAGCGGAGTTGGTGCGACCCAACAGCTATACGAATATGTGGGCGAGCCGGTGTGTTATTTCAGGAACATAAGCAGCTTTAACTACACCGTTCTTTACGACAAGGAGGGCAATACTTGCTACAAGAAGAAAGAGGGCTACGTAGATTTTAAGGTTCCGAGGCTCTGGCCGTTCTCGAGCAGGAGGTCGTTCATGGCATCATCATCTGGATTGCCGGATGAACACTGAGAGTTAGGTTGCTAATCTTGGTTGCTTACACATTGCATACCAAATAAGAATGTGTTTCATATGTACATTAGAAAGTTTGAACGTTCTTGTTTATTCAGTCTATTTCAAGCCAGTGCAATTTGAGTCAGACATCAATTTACCAGTTACCACTAATTATTTTCCCTCTAATTTTGTATCGGTTATTTGGTTTCTGACGATAATTGGGGGTTATATATATTTCACTTTCGCGTAGAGAGAGAACCAAAACTCAGGAAAACCAGATAGACAAAGTAGGTTTGATAAACTTTCTAAAAGAAAAACCAGAGAGCTGGGGGAGGAAAGATGGCAACGATGGGAAGAAATGAGAGGAGACGACGAATCATGGAGAGAGGATCAGATCGATTGGCTCTCATCACCGGTGAGCTCAAGAATCTCGAACGAACATCCTCAATGCCGTCGGCTGTCCCTTCGTTATCCTTCAATGGTAATTGGATTCATTCATATCATTCGATTCTCTCTTTCCTGACAATCTCTCACGTCACATTCCAAAATGTGCACATTTTTGTAAAACTTTTCATGGTTATGATTTTCGAGCTGCAGAACGTTCAGGGGGGCTAGAGATTGGATCTGATGACTCTGGTTCCAAAACACCAACAAAGGAAGCAATCGTCACCAAGCAGATTCCAAAGGCGGAGAAACCAGATTCATCACATATCTCCAGATCCGTGACGTCTCCAGATGTTGGTAACTTAACACCGAAGCCACAGACTGCAATAACAGCAATAGGGCCATCAAATAAAAAACCACCATCATCGTCGTCAAAGCCAAAGCAGACAATTTTTTTCTCTTCCAGGCGCCTGAACGCCTGCATCATAGCTTCTGAGGTCACCCGGGCGAAATGTTCCTTTGTTATATCCGTTCTCGTGCTGTTTTTCCACTTTGCACGCTCATGGATCAAAATCGACGAGCTCACCGAGAGATATAGGCCTATATACTTGATCGCCTTGACCAGTGTAACGATTGTGTTGCTTCGGATGATCCAGGGGAAGGGAATGGTCGTAGAAGATGCACAAGAAGAGAAAGCTGGAGATAACTCAGAGGATAAGAGCTGGAGAGACGCGTTCATGGTGCTGGAACGAGGTCTTACGGCCTACCAAGCAATTAGAGGCTTGTTCATCGACTGCAGTATTTACTTGATTGTTGTCATCTGTGGCCTCTCTTTGGCGTAACAGCGTTTGCTGGCCACAAGAAGAAGAAAGCTTTTCCTTTTCTCAGTATTTTTTTGTGGAACCCTAAAAGGTTACTAATATCCATTGTAATGAGATGCTAAATAATCCTTTTAAGGACATCACATGAACAAGAACAATACAGGAAAAGAGCAGAATTAGGTTCAAAGAAACAAACATGATTCATGGAACCTCGTCTACAATGGACGAGCGGCGAATCCTCGATGAACCATCTTCTCAACCAGCTCTTCATGCTTCTTCAACTGCCCAGCTTTCCTCAGCTGCTGGAGAACCATTTCATAGACGTTCTGACTCGGTTTCAACCCTTTCTCCTCAATCATTTCCTTGAAGAACTTGTAAGCATTGTTCCAATGCCCCATCCCACAATACATCCCGATCAAAATCCGGTACGTATTAACATTCGACTCGACTTCACCCTCATCCATCTCCTTCTTCATCTTCAGAACCATATCCGTCGACTTCGACTCCACGAACATCCTCATTAAGGTATTGTAGGTCACGGTGTTCGGCCTACATTTCACCTCCTTCATCTTAGCATACAACCTGTGAGCACCATTCACATCCCGTAGCTTCGCAATGCAACCGAATAAGGTATTGAAAGTAGAAGCATTTGTGGTACAACCGCTACGTATCATGGAATTCAGAACCTTCATCGCTGCATCGAGATTATCTTCCTTGCAATGAGTCTCGATCAGGAAGTTATACGTAACTGTATCGGGCTCGCAATTCAGCTTCCTCATTTGATTGTACACCTGCAGAACTTTCTCTGTTCTACCAGCTTTCACATGTGCTCTCATTAGATTGTTGAACGTTACCGAATTCGGCTGGCACCCCGAATCGACCATCTCTGCGAACACATCAAAAGCTCGTGTGCTCTGCCCGCATCTACAGAGCGAATCGATCACGATGCTGTAAGTGTAGACATTGGGTTGAATGCCAGCGGTCTTCATCTCACTGAACACCCTCTCAGCCTCCGGTAGGTTTCCGGCGCGACACCACCCGTGGATTAAGTTGGTGTAGATGATGACGTCCGGCTCGAATTTGGACTTCAAACCGTCGAAGAAGGCTTCGGCTTCGGCCGCTCTTCTCTTCTTGCAGAGATTACTGATTACAATCGAGAAGGCGATTTTGTCAGGCTTGCAGTTGTAATCTTCCATTCGATTGAATGCGTGAACGGCTTCCGCGGCCATTCCGGCGCGGATGTAGCGGCGGAAGAGAATCGAGAACGTTTCGACGCTGATATCGACGGATCTCTGTTTCATTAGATCGATTATGTTCCAAGCAAGGTCGAATAGCCTTACCTTTCCGGCGAGATCGACCATCTCGTTGTAGGGTTCAGGGGAGAGAGGGAATTCGTCCCGAGCCGTTGCCCAGTTGAAGAAAGCTAGGGTTTGGAGGAGTGGGATGCCGTGGCGGACGCCACCGCACTTCTCGATGACCCGCCGGACGAAGGCAGGTGTGATGGTGTCACCGGAAAGCTGGGAGAAGTCGAGGGAGAGAGATGGGATGGTGAAATTTGGGACGCAGGATGTAGGGTTTGGATTCGGGTTGTTGCGGTAGTGATCTTTGATTAGGGAATGGAATTTGTCGACTGCGGTGGATTCTTCAGGGGAGAGAGCGGCGGGGACGGGGAACGGTGATAGAGTTGGTTCTTCGTCATTGGAGTCCGATTCTTCATCGTGGATGAGAGGCTGTGAGACTTCGGGAGAGGAACAGTAGAAAGAAGTGAGGAAGGGGCGGGATACGGGGCAAAGTGAGGTGGGGAAACGGAGGCGGGAGTGGATTGCCGCCATTGATAGCGGCGAAGGAGGCTGCTCTGTTTTCTGGTCGAGGAAGGCAGAGGAACACGGAGCAATCGCTATGGTTTTTGGGGAGGGTTTAGGGAAGGGACGAAAGGTCACGGGAATACGGCGTCGTTAGGCAAATGGAAAAGACCAGTGCCTGATGGCTGATGGACGTTTCAAGCAGGCTTGGGCCACGGAACTGACCTAGAGAGTAAGCCCACAAGTTGAAGAACACTAGGGACTAGGCCTTGCATTTGTAATCGGGGTGATAACTGGAAGGCGATTAACTATTAACTGATGACTGATCGATTAAAATTTGTTGATGGGTAAAGGTAATAAAATAGTAAATACCATAGAAATTATCAAAATTTGGGTACTTTTTTAGTTTAATGGGATATAATTGGGCTGGAAAAATGAAAAAACCTAAAAAAAGTGGTATGGATGTACTTGGGCGTTGGGCCGTGTTTGGGCCGGCACGGCACGGGCACGCTTCGGGCCCATTTATTTCATGTCGTGTTTGGCACGGCCCGTCAGTTTTCGTGTCGTGCCATGCAAGCCCATTTGTTAACTTTGCTAGGCCCGGTCCAGGCCGGGGCATGGTTCGAATCGTGTCGTGCCTATTCGTGCTCGTGTCATGCTCGTATTCGTGTTTAATGAAAAAAGACGAAAACAAAAGAGACAATGAAAAAAAATGTGAAAATTGGACGGGGGAAGATAGTATTAACCGATAATGTTTGAGAAAAGTAACAAATAAGGGGGAAAAGAAAATTGGAAGTATAGCGAGTGTGATTTGGCTTTGTTTAATTCTTTGTCCATTTTTACTTATGTTAGTAATTACGTATATATCTTTATGACACTTCTAACAACAACAAATAATTATTTTTCTACTGGTGTTTTGTAATATTTGAACCTATAATTCTTATTATATTTATTTTCTATCAAATAAATATTATTTTCGTGTCATGTCCGTTCTTATACTCAATAAAGTCTCGAAAATATTAGGCCCGACACGGCCCACTTATTTCGTGCCCGTACTCGTGTCGTGCCCATGAAGTTTAGGCCCGACACGGTCCATAAATTATTCGTGCTCGTGCCGGGCTGACCCATTTATTTCGTGCCCGTGCTCGTGTCGTGCTCTACCCGTGCCATCATGCCATGTCGTGCTAGCCCGTGGGCGGCATGGCCCGGTGCCCACGTACAGGTATGGGGTCAAATTCCACCCACAAGGAGGAGCAATCGAGGGTCTGTAGAAGACTTCAGCGATATTAGGGTTTGGGAGTAGTGATGGCAATGGGTCGGGGCGGGGCGGGTACCTCAATACCCATGCTCCGCCTCATGCTACTACGGGTCGTGGCGGGGCGGGTCGTCCCACTCTTATATGCAATTTGAAAAAAATATAAGCAAAATTGTACATTTTACAATAAAATGAAGGGGAAAGACTTCATTAATGAATAATAGTGATAATATAATGGGTAATTGAGTCTATTTAGTTGAAAAATCATGTATAATTAGTTGAAGAAAAGCCAAAATAGGAGATATATGAATGGTTAAACATAAAAGAAATTGACCTAAAACTGGCCAAGAACGGGGCGTGGCGGGGCAGGGCAGGTCAGAAGTTGATACCCATGCCCCACCCCACGCTATTACGGGTCGGGTCGGATAATACTCGACAGGACGGGTTCAAATTGTCATCCTATTTGAGAGAGACTTAATGATAAATATGTGGAGTTTTTGTTAACCAAAACTAGTAGGGCTGGATTTTCGGTTAGTTCGGTTATAACTGATAACCAAAATGCCGGTTACCGGTTAACCGCGACACCAACATTGTCTACCGCCAACCGCCCGATGGAAGCCATCGGTTAGCCAGCAATAGACCGGTCGGTTATCGGTTAGTTGCTCGATTAACCGAAGTAACCGCAACACACAATGCACACCGGTTTTAACCGAGTAACCGAACCGGACAACACCCATATGCAAACAAGATTGATACAAATTGCCCAAAATTAAACGTTAAGCCCTACCTTTCTACATCTAAATCACTCCACAAGTTAAGTTTCAATCATTTTTGCATACAAAATAGATTTAAATCACCAAATTAATGTCTCAAATACTAGAACATATAGTCATAAATTCATAAAGTCACAAATTACAAGTCACCACCAATTCATCACTTATCAACCGAAGAAGAACCAACATCTACATAACCCTTTTCTTTCAGTTGCGACAAGAGGTGATGACCAACATCGTCATATCCATCTTTCTCATACTCTTGCTCATTCCCATCTGGAATGTTCTGACTTGCATATGCATTGACAACATTGCCAACATCACTTCTTGCACTTTCCACTCTAGACTAGAAAGTGGTATTAACTGAGTAAGAAAAAGGAAAACAAATTGTTAGAATATTCATACATTGAATTAGGTAGAATTAAATAGTATTTGTTTACTTCAACAAACAATAATTAAAAGAGTTTTAGAACTTACCGCTTTCCAAATCCATGATCTCTTCATCTTCTTCCCTATCGTCATTATCTCCGGCCCTGACATCTTGATACTTTATCCAATCCTCCGCACAAATCAATGCCTCCAACATGATATCACTCAAAGAAGACCTGAATGGACTGAGAATCTGACTGCCACAGCTGAAGGTTGCCTCTGAGGCAACAGAAGAGATGGGAACAGCTAGGATATCCTTAGCCATCTCAGCAAGAATCGGATATGTTCCAGAGTGTCGAGACCACCAACTCAAGATGTCAAACTTGGCATCATCACTCTCCTCATTGATGCCATCAGTTTGACATCTTAAATAGATGTCAAGCTCAATAGAGCTACCTCCTGTATCCTGCAGAAGTGCTTCCCTTTTCCTCTTCCTAATCCTCACCTCTAGCTGCTTAATCCTATCACCACCAGCCGTGCTCTCACCAGTGGTAGGCTCAGATGCTGAGGAGGGTGCTTTTGATCCATACTTCCCTTTGTAAACCTCAAACAGCTGTCGCATTTCCTTTCTAATGCAGTCAATCATTTCTCCTCCCTTCACATTCCCATACATCATTACCAAAACCTCGGACACCAAATCAAGTTTACTTCTTGGATCAAGCACACATGCTATAGTGGTTCACCTTCATGTTCTTCTCGTTCACAACACATGATTCAAACCAATACTTTTGTACCTTTTCCTCAACCTTCTCAGCCATCTTTTGGATCTCTTCATGCAGATCCTTCTTCAATTTCTCAATGATGTCATATACCGTAACAAGATTCTTGAAGAAGATATGCATAGTCACATATTTAGTTCCTGTACAATGAGAAGGTACCACCAGAAGATTAGAATAACACAAATAGAAAAGGGCAAATCGTTAAAATTTTTAAATAAAACAATGCAGTTCAGGAATTTCACTTACTAGAGACTAGAGGGGTCAAGTCATTGAAGACTTTCAGATAGTCTCTCAACTTCCTAATCATCTGCCAATCTTGATTAGTTGGAAGCCCACCTCTTGAGTCCAGATAATCTCTAAGAGAATCATCGTGTGGACTTGAATACAAAGTTGTAAACAATGCCTCAAAACTTTCTGCTGACTCTAACATGGTATAGGTGGAGTTCCACCTGGTCGGTACATCCAAAGACACCAGTTTGGTTGACTCCACATGCAGAAATTCCATGCCATTCTTGAACCGTAACAACCTAGCTGGTGAAGACCTCACCCACTTCACACAATCCCGAACTCTGTTCACAACACTACCAACCACTTTCAGTCCATCTTGAACCACCAGATTAATGATGTGTGCAACACATCGAAACTGTAGAAACTTCCCATCCATCAAATCACACCCCCACTCCTTTAGCTTCGTTATCATGCACTCCCTGACAACATCATTTGAAGTTGCATTGTCCATGGTCATGCAGAAAAGATTCTTCACCTTCCACTCTTCAAGAACTTCTGCAAGCTTCTCTGCAATATCAACTCCAGTATGACTTGTGATGGGAACAAAGGCTATCACCTTCTGCAACTTCCAATCACCTCCAACAAAGTGAGCAGTAACACACATGTAATTCTTGTTGTTATCAGAAGTCCATGTATCCGTAGTGATTGAAACTCTTCCTTGGCTCCTTGATTCAAAAAAATCAATTAAATCCATCTTTTTATCCAAGAAGATATGAAAGCAGTCATCTCTTATAGCTTTCCTCCCGGGTATCCTAAACCGTGGCTGAACAGAAGACATAAATTGCTTAAATCCTTCCCTCTCCACAAAGCGAAATGATTCATCCATAATGATCATACTGGCTAATGCATATCTAGCTTTTCCCTTATCAAACTTCCATAAACCACTTACTTGACCACCTTCTGATGTCTGCAATACTGTCTGATTTTTATTTGCTGCCAACTTAGCCAAACATGAGTGCATGTGGTTATTCATTGCAGTGGTCCCATTTTTGTGAGCATGAGCTTTGATTAGAGTATGCCAGTGTTAGATATATATATATATATATATAATAATAATTAATAATGTTAGGCTTATTAGCAGGGTTAGGCGGCTAGGGTAGGCCGATTAGGTTAGGATTAGTTTATTAGGGTTTTGGGTTTATTTCCTACAAATATGTACTTTGGGTTTACGTCATAATCAATCAAGAAAAGTATTGAGCAAAGTATCCTTCTAAACCTAATTCCTCTCAACTACTAATTTCTATTCTCTCATAATCCAAGGCCTCGGCCGATTCCCAATTCTATTATGTTCTTTCTCATCTAAATCCCTAATTCCTAATCTGAACCCTAAATCCCTAATCGTCACGAGTAGTTGCGGGTGCCGAAGATCAGTTCCTAGCTAGAATCCCTAGAAGCGGGGTTCTTTCAGACATTGTATGTACTCTCCCATCGGGTAGCTGTCAACTATCAACTTCTTAAACACCTTCCAATAAGAAGCTTTACCCACCGTCTTCAACCATTTCTCGCAGTCAAATATGTCTCCTGTAGCTGTCGCTGAATCATGAGCGCCCCTGTCAACAGAAGGAATCTCGGTAGGAGTCTCGACAGGTGTACCAGCAGGTGTACTTTCACTATCGACAGGGACGGGAATCGATGGAGTTGATGACGACGGTTCAACTTCAGTAGGTTGAACAGGTCGACTTCCTGTACGCCCACCACGACCCCGGGTCTGAACAGGAGCAGTTGCACCACCACGACCACGAGTTGCTGGAGGTCTCCCACCATGAGGAGCAGTAGCAGCAGTAGGGATACCTCGTCCACCACGAGGAGCCGGAGGTCTCACCCTACAAAAACAATTACACAAATTGAGAAATTGAAACTCAATTACCGAATCAAAGAAATTCTAACATTTTCTGAATCCAACCATGTTTAATACTTCAATCATACATTCTTGTTTCGACACTATTCATGCCATAACGGCCAATCATCTAGTATCTAATCTAATCAAGTAGAACACTAATTCAACCATACCATTGTTGCATTGTCCATTAATCAATCATCAATCAAGTTTAATTCATAAATCATAGCTAACCCCAGTTTCTTCCCAAGACAAACCATCTCACCAAATCCAATTTCTTTTCTCTCCAAACAAAAACAAAAACCCAACCTACCCAACAATAGAGAAGCAGAAAAGATTGCTTCTTCCTCCCCTGTTTCTTATCATTACCCACATTTTTGTTTCTTATCATTAACAAGAAGGGAAATCCCATCACTTCTCGTCCTTCACAGCGGCAACAATGAAGCAGAGGAAAACAACAACCTCTCTGTTTTGGCAGCGGTGGCAGAGCAGGGGCAAATTAAGCAGGGGAGTGATGAAATTGAAACACTTACATAATTCAATAGCGGGGTGCAGGCCTGCGCAGAAGGGCACTGGTCGCCGAAAAGAGGACTGATGGGTGCTGGCTGCGAGCAGAGGAGTGGCGCCGGCGAAGCTCTCTACGGCGGGGTCGCCCTCGCACAGGCCACAGAGGAGGCGGGTTGGCTGGCAGCTGCTGGCTGCGAGCAGAGGAGGCCGAGGCGACGGACGCAGGGGATGGCTGGCGACGGCGTAGAGCGGCGGCGTCGCTCTTCAAGGTCAGGGAGGGAGATGGTCGATGGAGGAGGCCGGAGGCGTCGCCCTTCGCAATGCAGAGAAGAGAGAGTGAGAGGCTCACTCGGCTTCGATTAGGGTTAGGGAATAGGAGGGCAGGCGGGCGGCGTTTTGTTTGAGTGGAGGGGGTTAGTTTTGCCGGTTAACCGGAAGTTATCACCGTCGGTTAGCCGGTTAACCGGCATAGCTAGCCCCGCTACCGCCAACCGCCCGAAATTACAATTTTCGGTTAGTCGGTTAACCGATAACCGCCGTTTATCAATTTAACCGGCCGGTTAACCGGCAACCGATAACCAAACGGCCAGCCATACAATCTAGTTAGTAGTCACAATACAAGTTCAACTCGATCTAAAAGTACAATTTTCATTTACATACAAAGACAACTAGTTCAACTTTATATGAAACTCATGACTGGAGAGTCAAACAAAGAACTTTCCAGTCAAATTCGAATAGCTTAAATAACACCTAATTTTAAAAATAAAATTTATAACACTCTTATAAAAATGAATCCGGCCCGCTACTTGCATGAGACGTTATTGGAAATTTAATCAGGTCAATTTTAGAAAAGAAATGGAATGAAACAAGTAGATTATATGGAAAGAAAACAAACATATATATGTGCATTGTGCAAGGAATTCAATTAGGTAGAGAGTATCCAAGAAAGCCTGAAAATAATAAATCTCCACCTGCTCCGGTTTTTAAGGAAGGCGTGGGAGGCGCCAAAACCAAGATCGGATCTCAAGCCCTTAATTTATCATATCAACACTCTCCATTCAACAAGCAACCAAACAATAGCCTAATTATACAATTATACTAAATTGGCTACTCCCCTCATCAAAAGATCCAGACGTCGTCGCCGTCGTTGGAACCGCGGCGAACCTGGCGGAGAAGGAGCGAGACTCGCCGTCCGGGTCGGACCAAATCATGACGTACCCTTGATCAAAATTCTGCGAATAGCCGACAGCGTTGTACGAGAAAATGTTATTTCCCGGCGGTGATGATGGGCTGCAAGTGCTCCCGAAGAGTTTCTTCTTCTCCTTCAGTATTCTCCTCCACAACGACTTCCATCTCTGGCCGGGCGTGGCAGCTGCTGGGGACGAGGAGGACGTAGAAGAAGGATAAATAATCCGTTCGTAACTGCCGCTGCCGTCGGCGGTTTGGCTGTGGCGTCGGCGACTACTGATGCCGGAGATGCATGACCAGCCGTTGATGAGCTCCATCGCTGTGCACCAGTACTCTATCCCGGTCGCTGGATCTATCTCTTGGAAACTGGAGAATGGAATCTGAATTATAACTAGATTTCTCAGTTGACGCTAATTCTAAGGCTAAGACAGCGCCTCTTTCCAGCTTGTACGAGCATGCTCTTTTTGTAGGAGAAGTAATCCGTTATTTTGAATTTAGTCCATTATTAACTCTTTTCTTTTTTCTCTTTTTATTTTTCCACTCAAGTACTCAAACGCGATCGGCGAAGATCAGTCTTTAAATCTTAATTAATTCGGCTCCAAGCCTCGAACTTTTCAAATTTGTGTTTGTGTTAATTAAATCTCTTAATTTATGTCATTTGATCAGTATTTTATTTTATAGCCTAGATTTTACTTTTTAGTACATAATAAATAACTGGATAGACCAGATATTATGGATTGACATGTGACAGGCAGGGGACTTAAATTACATGCTGGTACACATTAACATGCATACCGCCATAACTCTCATCGGCGCCATGTAAGTCCGTGGAGGGCAATGGGCATCTGTTCTATCTATGGTTTAAAGGTTTTAGTTTCTGACATTAATTGTTTCGATCCAGAA